GCTTTGGGCTTTGGGTTTAGGGCTTAGGGCTTTGGGTTTAGGGCTTAGGGCTTAGGGCTTAGGGCTTAGGGCTTGGGGTTTAGGGTTTAGGGTTTTGGGTTTAGGGTTCCTTAAACCCTAATCCCCAAATCCCAAGAACTTCCACACTCGCAACGCTAAAGGCCATGACGCCCATATACCCCGTGTCAACGTCCTATGAACTTCAAATAGCTTTTAAGGCCCAGACTACTAAACCCCAAACCCTGAACCCTCGCAGCCCAAACCTCCAAAACTCCTAAACCTCTCAAAACGTACACCCTAAGACTTCCAAGTGCTCCTAAACCCTAAACCCTAAACCCTAAACCCTAAACCCGAAGCGGCCTCCAACACCACCTCGCGGCGTTCCCTCAAACCCGCCGCGAGGGGGAGCAGCACGCAAGCCAAAGAGAGCCAGAGCATGGCTCTCACTGTTACTTTAGGGGGGTTTAGGGTTTAGGGTTTAGGGTTTAGGGTTTAGGGTTTAGGGTTTAGGGTTTAGGGTTTAGGGTTTACTGTTACTGGCACCTTAACCTACCAGGACCTACTTTTTTGTAGGGTTTAGGGTTTAGGGTTTAGGGCTTAGGGTTTAGGGTTTAGGGTTTAGGGTTTAGGGTTTAGGGTTTAGGGTTTACTGTTACTGGTACCTTAACCTACCAGGACCTACTTTTTTGTAGAGTTTAGGGTTTAGGGTTTAGGGTTTAGGGCTTAAGCTACCAGGACCTACTTTTTGTAGGGTCCCTATAGATCCCATATTAGGGTTTATAATAAGAACCTACAAAAAGTGGGTTTTGGTAGGTTAAGGTAGGGCTCTAAACGTGGAATCTGGAAGGGTCAAGGGGTGCTATGTGGGATATAAGGGTTTAGGGTTTAGGGTTTAGGGGTTGCGGGTTCAGATTTCACGTCTTAGAGATTGGAAAGCAAGTTATGGAGACGAGTGGGTTTATGCTTGGGATCTTCAACAGGCCTGCAAAGTTGTTCACAGAGTTCACGCTGAGTTTACAGCGTGACAGGGTTTTAGGTAGACTACGTTCACGGGCTTAGGGTTGGGGTGCAGGGAGGTTTCAAGATTTCGGGCTTGATGGAACCCTAAACCCTATATTAATTCCTAAACCAAAAAACCCTAAACTTTTGAGACGTCTGCGGACCTGGGACTGTGGATCAACCGCCTAGGATTTCAACATCCACATATGACATGCTGGGGCAATCCCCGGCTCGGAGATCCCGAAGCTCTAATGTAGGGCCCTTAATAATTAGAATAGGGTTTCGGGTTATATCATAGTATAGTTATAATAAGGAAGCCCCAAAATAGTATGGGCAAGTCTAAAGGCCCCTATATTTAGCCCTAAACCCTAAGCCCTAAACCCTAAACCCTAAACCCGAAAACTAGGTTTTGCAAACCTGCGGCGAGCTGGAGCAGACAAAAGCCGGAAGAAGAGCAACTCTGCACGCTGCGGAGCACGGTTTAGGGTTTAGGGTTCAGGGTTGGGTTTAGGGTTTAGGGTTTAGGGTTTAGGGTTTAGGGTTTAGGGTTTAGGGTTCAGGGTTCAGGGTGTAGGACTTAGGGTTTACATAGGGCTTAGGGAAGGAAGCGTCCCAGGAAGCACTCCGCACCTGAGCTTCAAGGTACCCTAAAAAAACTTAAACCAGAAACCCGAAGCCAAAAAAACCCTAAACCCCTAAACCCTAAACCCTAAACTCCAAACCATAAACACAGCCATGAAGGCACGGGCGAGGGAGTTTTTGATCTTGTGGCCGGCCATGGCTACCCAGGCCTCCAGCCTGTCGGAGATCTCGTCCAGTTAAAATTAAAACAGGAGGGTTTAGGATTTAGGGTTCAGGGTTTAGGGTTTAGGGCTTAGGGTTTAGGGTTTAGGGTTTAGGCGCTTCAGGGTTTAGGGTTTGGGGTTGGGGAACCGGAAATCAGAAGGCAGACGCACCCCGCGCCCTTCATGCAAACCTCTGGTTCATGTACTGTAGGGGCCTTAAGAATACGGTTCCGGGGCTCCTTTAAAGGGTTCCTTAAAGGGTTCTGTAAGGGCTACTATAAGGGTTTCGGGTATAGGGGCCTTAATCATTAGAATAAGGTTCTGGG